CGTAACAACCCGATATCGGCTGGAAACGTTTGGAATTGTTCAGAGTGTTGCAGAATTACGGTACGGCAAATCTGGCTGGATCGCCTGCGCTCAGTTTGCCCTAGAAGGGTTTAATGCTCTTCCTACACAGTCCATGGGTAAGGCTTCAGTCTTGTCAAGCCCTTCTGTTTTTCGTCCATGGATTGAACTGCTCTTAAGTAATTCACTTTTATCTTTTAATGGAATATTTTGTGTCCATGTTTTAGGTGTCTTCCTGGTTCATTCAGTTGTTTATATCAGCTGTGTTGGATCTAAAAGCTGAAGGACACCGGCCCTTACGGCAGGGATTTGGACACCCCAGACGTAAAGTCATTAGTTAATTCCTTTTGAAGATGTTTATTTAAGCAACGCACCTTTTCGTGATCGCGGCGTCAACCTGTGACGAGGGTCAGTGGTTGTCAGACGTGCTTCTAAACTCATGTTGTGACCACAGAGCTGAAATACTGTTCATCCCTGCCGCTCAGTTTGGCTTTTTGACCTCAGCCCCCGCTTTTATGAAATCACCACTATATTAGTACTTAATGGTTATTCAGTCATTAAAATCCCCAAAATGTGTAGTGATGTAATCTGAGATTGTGAAATATTTCTTTTGAAAATTCTTAAATGAGGTCATAAAAGAGCAAAACAAACCATCCTCATCTTTTTTTCTTTTTTTTTTCCCCTTTTGGATTGCACAACGTCTCCCGTCTTTGTTTTTCCATCAAGCTGAGTACGTTTTGGTCTGGCCAACAATAATGCTAAGCAATTAAAATGTTTTACTTTTCATAATGTGAAACAGAAATTAGGAAGTTGTCGAGTTTGTAAAAAAAAGTCACTTTTATTTTACTACCACTGTTTATACAGTTATATTAAGTGCTGTCACAAAGCAGCTGTTGTGTCTGCAAGGACTGAAGTATTTTACAAATTTTCATCAATACCTAAAGTGAGCAAACATGAACATGATGACAGAATCAGCTGCAGAAAAAAAAACTTAATTAATTGATTCATCTGCTTGTTGTAAGAAAGAGCAACCAGAATAGAAAGATTTAGACTTTTCTGGATGATATTATAATCACGAAGTTAAAGTCAGGATGAAGTCAGAATGTAAACATCTGCCTCATCTGTTCGATGTCTGAGCCCAGAGTGTTTCCATTGTAAATCCTGGCGCTCTGCTTCACTTTTCCCTGGCAGACGCATTTTCTCAGACGGTCCCATACGCTTTAGATGGTGGCCTGCAGTGCCTTGCAGAAACTATTCATACCTTTTGAACTTGCTTAAATTTGAGCACGTAGCACATTGAGAATCTTGTAATAGGGATTTTTTTTTTAATCAAAATTTAAGAACGAGCATTTTTTTTTTTTTTACATTTTGTGCAAAGAAATAAAAAATTCTGTATGTGTTAAGCCTCATTGTGTCAGTACCTTCAGCTGCAAGTCTGTTGGGTATGTCTCTACCAGCTTTTCGCGTCACCTTTCTATTAAAACTTCTTGAGAATCTGTAAAGAATCATTTTCAAGTCTCTCGTCACAGACTCGGGTCTTTTTGACACACAAATATTGCTTGATTTAAGTCATCCGGTTGTAGCACAGGCTGTACCTTTAGGGTCATTTTGGGTTTTCTTCCAGGAATGTTTTGCATTTAACTTGACACGTTTTCACGTCCGATCAGCTTCCCTCTCCCTGCTGAAACAAAGCAAGCCCACAGCATGATGCTACCGCCATTTCCCACACCTGGGATGGTGCGTTCAAGGCGAGCCGTTTTATTAGTTCCGCAACACAGACCACTTTGCATCTGATCAGAGCTCCTTCATCCATGTCAGCTGCGCTCCCTTCATGCTTATGGCAAACTTTAACCTGTTGGTCTCAGGTTGTCATTCACAATGACAGGGGTGTCAAACTCCAGTCCTCTGCTGTCCTGCAGTGTTTAGATGTGCCACAGGTAAAAACAGTGGAATGAAATGGCTTAATTACCTCCTCCCTGTGTAGATTGGTTCTCCTGAGCCTTGCTAATGACCTAATTATTCTTTTCAGGTGTGGTGCAGCAGAGGCACATCTAAAAGTTGCAGGACAGAGGCCCTTGAGGACTGGAGTTTGACACCCCTGTCACGAGAGGACCCAAATTTGGGTCCTCTCGTGACAGGGGTGTCACGAGACACGAGGCATCCCCCAAAAGCTGGGATGCTTTTGGGGGGCGTTTGGTCGAAGGTAAACTTTACACTTTAAATGCACAACAATGCCAGTTTAGACTTTGAGCAACCCAAATTTGGGTCCTCTCGTGACAGACAGGTTAAACTTTTATTTTTCTCGTCCTTCACACCTGCCTAGTTGTGCTTCTATGCCCATGTGAATACGATCTATTTCGGTGACTTCTGAAGGCAATTTTATGCAGTTGGTTTAATTTAGAGGCATCAGATTAAAAGGGCTGAACACAACATATAACATATAATACATCATTTCTCTTTCGCTTCACAATTAACCACCCCTTTACGTTTTTCTACCACATAAAGTCCCAAAGAAAACTCTAAAGTTTGCGATGGTAAAGTGAAAGGATGTGTCAGTGTTTCAAAGTGTATGGTTACTTATGAAAGCTGATGTAAATGTAGGAGTTATTTAACTTAGATGGCTTATGATAAAACATCGTAAATTCACGTGTTTTTGTCCAAAAGTCAAATTTCTACATCCGGTCGCAGCGCTGTTTGCGAGCGAGGAGAGAGCAGCAGAGTAAGAAAGGGAGAGGGAAGTATGAGTTCGCTTCATATCTGACCCATGTGCTCATTTCCTGTATGGCTTCTGGTTGGTAGGAAGCCAACAGTAACAGGTGATTTGTAATCATATGCGTGTGGATGTGTGTGTGTGCTCGGTACATGACTGTAATTCTGTCTCTCTGTGTGTGCGTTTCTCTCACTGTAGGGTTGTTCAGTACGCCTGAGCCTGCGTTTGACAGCTCATGCTTTTGGTGAAAGACAGCGAGACAGGAAGTGGGTTGTGTGTGGCGGAGACAGTTCACAGGAGGGCCTGTCTGGCAGCCTCTGCTCCTCTTTCAAATCCCTTTAACATGATCAGAGCTGTTCTTCCTTTAAAACCCCCACGCGCCCCCCTCCCACAACCCACTCTCTGACCCCCTCACCTTTTCCTCCGTAAATGCAGCGCAGCAAACTCCGCCGCTGCTCCGAGAACCCCGTTAAATATATTTCACAGATATTACTCCTCCTCTTAAGTAAACAGAGATCCTCTTGTTTCTGCGTAGCGTATCTCCTGCCGCTGGGCACTGGGCTGGGTGTGTGCTGCAGTCATGTGTTTATCGTTTCATGAAAGGTGCTCCCTGTTCTGCAGTCAACAGTCTGGGGAGAGGAATGAAGTCCGCACTATTACAACCCCTGGGTTCTTGTTCTTCTTCTTCTTCTTCTTCTTCTTCTTCTTCTTCTTCTTCTTCTAACTTTGTTGTTTCAAGCGACTTCTGATGAGGCCTGCAAATAATAAGAGAGGACAGTTAGACAGTTTAAAACTGTGTTCCAACTGCATTTACTGACTCGGGGTTTCCCATTTCTGGCCGTGAGGAATCATAAAACCAGCACTTAATTTAGTGTCATGAACTAACTGGGGAATTATTGTATTAACTGGATAAGACTGAGGAAAAAAAAAAAAAGTTTTATTTTCCAAGTTTTGATGATCCAAAATGCCTCTCTGCTCAGCTGCCGCTGCAGATGCGCTTTTGTAGAGCTGCACTGCCACCTGCTGGCAAAGTTATGTTTCTGCTTCTCTGTGCTACAAAATCTATAGATTTCCTCTCAGTCTCAATGTTTTCTATATAAATAATTTTATGGTAGACAAGATTACACAAGCAGCATGAAAATGATTAAAATAAAATGCATATATTGTTTGAACAATTTATTACTCTTATTAGTACTTTTATTTAGTTTTTTTTTTTTTAAAGGTCACTGTTAGCATGCATTTTCAAACTAAGATAAGAAATAAAAAATACATTTTTTAAACACAAGTTTGCTTGGTAAATGCAGTTTTTCTATGTAAATAAATTATTTAAATACAATTAAAAAGCATTAGCAAAAACCACAAGCCTACCTGCTGTTACTTATATTTTGAATGACACGTAAAAGGTTGAAACGTCATTTTGAACAAACATTTCTTGTTCAAAGTTTCTCTGGACTCTGGCTTGGCTCCTCCAAAAAATGTTGATGCTACTTCCAGTCAGAGGAAACGTGTTGAGAAACTGGAAAATTAACTTTAAGAGAAAATCTTCCAGCTGTATGGATACATTTGGGATTCACAGTATGAATATTCATTCTGTGCAATGGTCAAAATGTGCCGGTTAAAGTTAGCGATAAAACACCCTATTTCAATCAAACAAGTTTAGAATATAATGTCTTTTTTTTTTTTCTTTTAACCTTTTAAAACCTCCAAACTAACACATTTCTACTGAAGCTGTAAACAGATTACCTGAGAAACATGAAGGAAGCAGCTGAAAACATTCATCAATCTGTGCGGTGGAGAGACGAACAAAGGAAGGAGAAAAAAAAAAGCACTTTAGTTGGATCAAACAAAGAAAAGAGCGCAACCGACTGAAAGAAGACGGAAAGGTCACATTTGAATAATTGTACACAGTATATTTATTTACACATTCTTACAAACTTCCATCGCTGTAAGTTATGCAGAATCTTTCAAGCAGAACGTGTCGAGCTCAGTTTTCTGTCAACGATAGCGACGTTGTACCCACATTCTGTTGCTTCCGAGTTTCCAATCCTCGGCGGCTAGCCGAGGACAGCCAGGAAAGTTAGCGTCACCGTTGTCAGGAAAATTTGTCGTCCAGCAATTGGCCACTTTTCCAGTTAATGGTGTAAGTCTTTGTTGATCAGATTCAACGTATTTCGATGGTTGCCAGTGTATTGGATTTTGCTGTCATGTTGGTGTTCTTGTCACAGCTTTCTATGTCTTTACACCGACTTCTCTTGGGCCCTGTGTGTCGCAGCTCCATGTCGCCGTTCAGTATTGACAGCATCCGACGCCCCCGGAGGTCAGAGTCTCCTGACTCGAAGAAGCGAAGAATCCACAGATGTGACTTCGAGGGTTGCAATAAAGTGTACACCAAAAGCTCACATTTAAAAGCACACCGGAGGACACACACAGGTCAGTTCACCGTGTCTGAAAAAGATGCCATTTTACGTAATACTGTTGTTCTTCTTCAGGCCTAAATGTGGCTGAGGTGAATGTTTTCTGAAAGGCGTTTTGTGGTGTATTTGTTGGTCTGAGCAACAAGCGCCTGAAACCCTATTAGAAGCTAGAGACGCTGAGATTTACTGAGGTTTAATGATGCTTGTGAAAAGTAAAGGAGATGAGAAGAATGAGAAGTTCTTATTGTTTTCATTCCATTTCAAACAAATATCGAGAATGAAATCAAAAAAGTGAGAGAAAACATCAGCATTTTGAGCAAAAAGTCAAAAATGTTATCCAATGTTTAAAATTGAAATCTTAAAAAAAAAAGCTAAAGATCTTACAGCCAGTGTTGAATTTGTTTGTTTATAATAGTACTTAGTGATTTTCTTTTTTAAGTTTGTTTTCCAAGTATCTGAAATTTATCTTGAGCATTTAGACTTTATATTTGGTCTTTCTCCTCCTTCCTTTTTTTTTTTTTTTTTTACAAAACTCGTCTACTTTCCTCTCCATCTTTTTTCTCCTAGTGACTCAAACAGCCCGTTATCAGAAAGGACGTTTCATGAAAATAATAAAAAAAAGAACTATGTCTCAAAATTGTGGCCAAGATAAATGTGTCCCCGGATTAACAGGAGATTACTGATTACTAAGTAAAACTTCCTCACACTAAAAAAGTAAAAAAAAGAAAAAAAAAAAAAAAAAAAATGCTTCAGGTGTATTTATTTTTGTTGGACTTTTTCTTACGGAATAAATACATTCAAGTTAAAAGTTGGATTTATCAAAAGTTTCAGTGTAGGATGATGGCAAAGCAATAAATAATGTATTTATCTTAAGTATTTATAGACATCTTTACTATGAGGCTCCAGTAAATGTGATGGTGAAACGAGACACTCCACGTATATTCAACCAAAGATTTATGATGTTTTTTTCATTCCTTTTTTTTTTTTTTTTTTTTTTATACAGTTTTTATTTAAACTGTTGGGAAGTTATTTATTATCCAGTTGTAACGACTTCTACAATAAGTGGGTCAGAGGAAGCTATCGTCATAAATTATTCAAGTAGCTCGAGGCTTTAAAGAAGAAAAAAAAAAGAAAAGCATTTTCAGAAATCTGACACACCAGTTGTTTTTCTCTTTGGTAACAAGAACGTGATGAAGAATAGTTTGACACATTTTTTTCTAACCCCTTTGCTAGATGCAAAAACTCCCATGGAAACATTTTGTTAAAAAATAACCTCGAAGTATCCGTCCCGTTAAAGTCCGTGCAGGAAAAACTATTTGGCAGATCAGTTGTATTGTCTGCGATGGTGTGGAAGATGTGACCCGTGCGTCTGCTGTCGTCCTTCTGCAGGGGAAAAGCCATACAAGTGCACCTGGGACGGCTGCACCTGGAAGTTCGCCCGCTCCGACGAGCTGACGAGGCATTACAGGAAACACACGGGCGTCAAGCCCTTCAAATGCGCAGACTGTGACCGCAGCTTCTCCAGATCCGACCACTTAGCCCTGCACCGACGGAGGCACATGCTGGTGTGAAGCACAACGGGAGCGACTGAGAGAAGATGTCAACAGAGCAGACGCAGCCACACACATGCACACGCACACACGCAGACGCACACAGGCAGCCGGGGGAGCGGGATCTCCCTCTGAATGTTTTTCAGCTGGCCTGGATGCCCAAACTCACTCACGCACACGCACACACACACACACACACACACACACACACACACACACACACACACACACTTGAGTTGGAGATGGAGAAGCTGGATGGACGGTCGAAGCAGAAAACAGGGTGACTTCCGGATCCTCTCTGGATGGGAAGGAAGCAATGGCGGGATCCTTCTCCGTCATCGGATAATGATCGGGAACTGCTTTTAACAGCACTGTTTGTTGATGTTTAGCTTTGATTCTTTTTTGTTTTTTTGTTGTTTTTTTAGGATGAAGTGGCACTCTACAAATTTGGATTTTACTCACTTTACATTACAGCTGCTTTTCCAGCGTTCATAATGTGAAAGACCCCTTTGAAATCAGAGCGGGAAGTTCGACCTGGTGTGGATTTTAACAGGAAGAGACTTGGCCAGAGTTGGATTTACAGACAGTATTGTTTGTTTTTTTGGGGTTTTTTGTCTTGCCTTCCCATGAGTTGACCAGCAGAGGGCAGTGTTTGATCACGGAAGGTTTACTCGGACTTGGACCGTCACATCTAAGGCGTTTTATTCGAGAAGTTGAATGAGGTCTGGACTTTCACCTTTTTTTCCCCCGAAGCCAGCAAAGTGCAAACAACTTCACAAGGATGGATCCAGTTTCACCCGCTCACTTTGTTGACTGCAGGAACTGGACACACCAAATCATCATCACACCAGCAAAGAAGCCCCATGTTATCACACGGACTTCAGACAAACCCCATTCTTCATCAGTGCTTTTCTTTATTTTGAGCCTCTTTAAAGCATTTTCTTCAAAAACAAACAAACAAAAAAATCTTACGTGGATTTTGAGCTGTGATTAGCAATCAGTAAAGTGCAATCTTAAAGAATATATATATATATATATAAACTTTCAGTATGAAAATGTTTTCTTTATTGAATCTTGCTTCTTTTTTTTTTAAAGTACATGCTTATTGCTTATGTTTGATTCTGACAAATACGACCCCCCCGCCCCCCTCATGTACAGCGAACCTTGAAACAATCAGAGGAGAGTATGTGGGAAAAATAAAAAATAAAAACCCAACAGAGGCACCTTAGAGACTTTCATTCTGTCAACATCTACCTGTACTCATCAGTCAACTCATGTTTCCTCCTCTGAAATTGAGCCAAAACTAGGAGTTTTGTGTGCTGGTCTTTGTACGGCAAGGCGGCCCTCGACCGCAGGCCGCCGCTGACGCCAGCTGAAGACTTGAACGGAGACAAACCTGCACACACAGGAGAGCAATACATTCTGATCAAAGTGTTCGTCGGTGTCCGAAATCAGAGACGAAGGGTCAAGGTCAGCCGCGCTCTGTTTCTGAAGCAGCTCCAAGTCGCCGATGTGAGGTCTCTCAGCTGGTCATTCACTCCGCAGCATCTTCCGTTTGTTTGTTTGTTTGTTTTCATTTTGTTTTGTTTTTTAATTTTCATCAACATCACTTGAAATGTTCTCACCTCACTTTGGGCGGTTTTGTGGGTCGTCACCAGAAGTCTGGTGAGTAAAATGCAGGAGTTGCACACCTAGTTACACACATACACCGCTTTGCAAAAACTGTTGATCCTTGAACTATTTTGACATTTTCGTCATGCTACAATGACAAACATCAATATGTGATCCTGGGATTTTATGTGGCTTGTCAAGTGGGAGGACACTGATACATTTCTATTTCCCTGCAAACGAGTGAAAATCTGGAAAGTGCAGAGCGCATACATCTTCAGCATCCCCGAGTCAGTTCTTTAAACGTCTGACGCCTTTTGCAGAACAGCAGCATTGCTTCCTGAGATTTCGGTGGACTTCTTTTTAAGAGCTTATAAATTCACTTCTCTTCATTTGGAAGTATCAGAGTAAAGGGGGACTGAAAAAAATAAGCACATTTTTTTTTTTTTTTTTTGTTCCCACTCCACAATCGCGGCACTACTTTGAAAATCCCTACAAAAACCACATTAAAGTTTATGGTTGTAACGTGGTGAAATGTGAACGAGTTCCAGGTGTCTGGAAACTTTTTGCAAAGCACCGCACATGATACAGATGTTATTATGAAATTGTAACATTATGTCACAGAAGATTAACGCTTGAGATGCGGTTACTGGCAGAAATGTCTCTCAGAAAACATCACACTTGACCTCAATCAGGGAATTCAATTAAAAGTATATTTTTATAGCCCTAAAGGCAAATGTCTTTTTTTTTTTTTTGCAACTGTTTCCAGCGCTCCTGATGCCGTTTAAAAGCTTCAGGGCTTTCAGGTACTGAGCCAACCGATGTTATACGACATAGCGCTGCCAAATGCAGTTATTGGGCAGAAGCCAGTAAAAAGACACAGCAACCTTTTTTTTTTTTTTTTTTTTTTTTTTTTTTTAAGGTATCTTGAAATCCACACGCTTTTACACTAACGCCTACAAACACGCACACCACACACACACACACGCTGAAAGCTCTCACTTTTAGTAAAGAAGCCAAATCCAGGGAACAGTTTTTCCACACGTGCGCAGTTCGTGCGGCCCTCTCGTATGTCACCATTATTGATGTATATTGTTTGTGCACATGTCATTACGCCCAGTCGTATTATCGTTTTGGCAAAAAAAAAGAAAAAAAAATGCATATTAGCACCTTCTTTGTTTATTGAGATGATTTTTCAGATAATTTTATTTCAGATGTCAATTTATAAGCAAATATTCGTCATATTTTATCATCCGTATAATGTATAAGGACTTTTTTTTTGTGATTGGGGGGCCCTTCATTTGACGGCTTGTAACCCTTTTTCTTATGTAAAAAAAAAAAAAAAAAGAAACTTTTTTTTTTTTAATTTTTTGAAATGTTGTAATATATGTGATAGTGAAGACACAAAGCTATTACAAAGTTCTACAACCTGTACATACAACGGAGAAATAGGGCTTTCGATTCGTAGACGCAGGAGATACATTTATACACGTAAAGTCTTTTTTCTGAGACCGTAATTTATCTAATTTGATATACAGCGAAAATGGGCTAAAGGTGTTCATCATGTATATGATCATTATGTGATGTTATTATAACAAACAGCTTCTTTTTTATTGTTATTATTATTATTATTATTATTATTATTATTACTGTTCTGGTTCGGGGTTGAACAAGTTCACGATCAAATTATTATTTTTTATTTTATAAGGCTGCACCAGTGTTTGCTATAAACAACAAAATTATTTATATACACTGACCGTATTAAGGTACTTGAATGCCTGTATTTTGCTATTTTCACAGTAGAAACCAGGTATTTACACATACATACGCATATTTTTACTCACTTTCTGATGTTAAATATGATAAAATGTTTCCTGTTTTAGGTCGGTTAAGGTTAACATTATTATTATTATTATTATTATTATTATTTACTAAATGCCAGAATAATGAGATCATTATAATGACAATAAATCAGAAACTCATTTAATTTTTGATACGAAGCTTCTTACGGTAATCTGCTGGACGTTTTGTCCCATTCCTGACAGAACTCTTCTGACTGAGTCAACACACACACACACACACACACACACACACACAACTTTTCAGCTCTTCCCAAACGTCCCATGGGATTGCGGTCAGGATTATGTCACTGTAACACTCCAGAACATTGGCTTTGTTGATTTTGAGTCATATTGTAGCTGATCTGGTGACCCGTTTGTGCCCGAGCTTCAACTTTGAGGCTGACGTCTTGAGATGCTGCTGCAGTTATTTCCACACGTCTGCTTTAATGTGAAGTGCATCGGTCCTTCCTGCAGCTAAACGAACCCGCGACATGATGCTGTCAATCCCGTAAGCTTTTCCAGAAAGTATAACAATAACCATTTCGATTCTTGATCATTTTTTCAGACATATTTTGGCACATGTGGCCTTTCAGCCTATTTTGATACAAGACTAGTTGTCACAAGATGGGGCTGATTTCATTTGATTTGTCCGCATGGAAGCAGCGTTGTTTGGTGCATGTAAATCTCAGAATTTTAAAATAATAATTTTTTCTTTTTTCAAATCATTATTCTGGAATTTAGGAAATGGAAATAATTCTGTTAATACTGACTTTCCTAAAACAAGTCAAGTTTCTCCTGTCCAAATCACAAGAGGGTGAGGAGGAAAAAAAAAAAAGGGTTGTGTCTTTTTGTTTTTTTTTAATACAGCGTATGTAAACATCTGGTTTCAGCTGTACCTGACCGACAACAATGAAAACAAAACAAAAAAACTAGACAAAACAATCACATATCAACAAAACACGTGCTCTTTATTCAGTATCTCTACAAATGACGTTGGATGCCTTAATACACCAGTGTTTAAACAATTCAATTAGACTTGAAGGTGACGTCTCCATGGAGACAGGGTGTTTTTGGATCGTCCCCCCCCCCCGCCCCCTTTTCTCCCCCTTCTACACACCGCATCTCTTTCCTCGTTTTGAAGCATAATTTTGTTACGGTAACCAGGGTCAAAGTTATGCAATAATGATAAATAGTGCCTCATGTCACAAACTTGTAATATCACCTGCCCTGTGCAACGTTTCGATTCCAACACGTGTTCTTCAATTGCTTACTTTTCAAAAGGGGAAATGATGATTTCTTTTTATTATGGATGTTATTTGGGAATAATTAAAAAAAAAACAACAAAAAAAAAACAGAAAAAAACCACAGACAACAATATGCAAGTCGGACCTCTAACATTGAACCTTCTCTTCGCACTGAGCCTTATATCACGGGGTCAAACGCAGCGTCCCACCGCAACACGCTCACCGGTTTGAAGCACACGTCATTAGCTTTGGCTGCAATAAGTCCTCCTCCGTCCTCAGGGGCGGTACACCTGAGTTACGAAGGCCTCTGGAAGTTTCAGCTTCACCACGGTGATTTCAAATTAGGCCATGAGGAATCAAATTCACGGTTTGGTAGTGTATGCCTTTGTTGGCGATTTGAGACGTTCGATCGGTTAAATAAATATTTTAATTTCTGTGTAACATCTGATTTTGGATTTTTTTTTTTCTCTCTCTCTCTCTCTCTTCTGGTTTTGAAAACTTAAGTAGTGAAGCCAATGCCTATGTTTCAAGTTTGCTAATATTACGTACAGTAATTGTTGTTCCTGTATTTATGTAAAGTGAGTGTTGTGTAAATATATTCAGATCTTTTCATTCTTACCGTGAGGACAAAAAAAAAAAAGAAAAAAATGTGATTATGCTTCAAAAAGGGAGATTCTGCTAATGGGGGGGGAAAAAGACATTTTTAACCCTGGTATTTTTAAAAAGAATAATTTTAAAAACAGGTGTCCTTCTGTTTTCTCCTTCTTTTTTTTTCCTGTTACAGTTTTATTTTCTCCAAAGGTTGTTTGAATAACAAGTCAGTGTTTTTTGCCTTTTTTTTTTTCTTGTACTTTTTTTTTTTTTTTCAAATGGATGGAGCTGTGAAATTAAGATAAGTTCAAACATATACATGTATATTGAAATGAATGGAGGCATGAAGGTTAATAAAGTTGCATTTTGTATGTAACACTACTGGGATGGAACCCCTTTGCTATCTATGATTGGGATGGATGGAATGTGGTTTCGGTGACACATTTGAGTGACATCTGAGAGCCGTGCTCACGCCGGCATTCGGAAACCTAATCTGGATTTGGGGGAAACCATTAGTGCGGAGCGCAGCTAGCGGGATGCTGGGGGGCTGCAGGGCCGCCCCTGAGCCAGCTGACGGACACAAGCAGCTTAAATCGACAGAAAATTCACAAAAGACAGCAAATTTACATCAACAGTGTTGTGCAAAAGTATTCCCCCCCCCCCATATAGATTTCTTCTTCTTTTTTTTTTTTTTCATTTCATTTAGTCCACTTAGACGTTTCAAATCTTCAGAACTTTTTTTTATACCAGAAATAATAATAATATTATTATTATTATTATTATTATTATTATTATTATTATTATTATTAATAAAAAAACAGTTTTTGAAATGATTACTTTGCTAATTAGGAGAAGAAAACGATTTAATGACCCTATGCGAAAACATAGCTCCCCTCTCCACAATTCACAACATTCAGCATAATCACAGTTGAATTTTAATTCCAGACTTGGAATAGGCCATGCCAGGATCTTCTTTTTTTTTTTTTTTTTTTTTGGAAGGGCTTGCTTGTTTACATGTTCCTTAAACATACATTGTCCTGAAAAAAGGAAACCATTAGAGCTAGAACATCATGTTTGAATGTTTGCATGATGTTCTTTTCCTGAGGTGCTTTTGTTTGCTTCACGTCAAATATAAGAAAGCACACTGTACCGTACAGTGTGTTTGTCTCGTCTGTTCACAGAATATCTTGCACTCATTAGCTTTGCACAAGGACTTGTACTTGTTAAACAGGTCTATGCGGGCCCTGGTCCAACTCATCTCCTCCTGCCAATGATGCTGTAGCAGCAGGAAATTATAACCCAGAGATGAAAATGTCAAGTTTATTTGTAAATATTACTCCCACTGACAAAGAAGCACCTTAATTCGGAGTCTGCGACTGAGCGCGTAAAGCCACTGGTCAGCCTGGTCAGATGAGACTCACCACTTTGAGTCTCATCTGAAAGAAGTTCTAATCACAGTTGGAAAAAAATTAACAATAAAAATTGCTAAAAGAAAAAAAAAACTAAAAAAAAACCCCCCAGCTAAATTAAATATATCAGTCACCATACAAAATACTGAATTTTAAATTTCCTGTATTGAAATTGGCAGAAGAAAATCGGTCCACTACTAGTCGCCATTACCCATGATCCCGCTTGGCTGTGCCCACTGCAGGCCTGAACAGAACCATTTAAAACACAGGTGTCAATCTCCAGTCTTCAAGGCTGCTGCCCTGCGACTTTTAGATGTGCCACCACACCTGAATAGAATAATTAGGTCATCATCAGGGCTCTGGAGAACTGATCTACACGAGAAGGAGGTCATTAAGCCATTTCATTCCAGCGTTTTCTGTACCTGTGGCACATCTAAAAACTGCAGGGCCAGCGGCCCTTGAGGACCCGGAGTTTGACACCACCGATTTAAAACCATAGCTGAGGTCCGGTGGTGATACTCTTTTAATGTTTTTAGCATGTGTGCAAAACCCGTCAGAAAGTCGCATTCTTACTCTGCTTTCATTCAAACTTCCACGTAAAACATCACATCTCTCCAAAATAAAACCACATTGCTTTGTTTGCTCTAATCCGGCAACCAACAGAGAGTGATATTTTAAGCCCTGGTATGCTCCGACCCTGCATGAAGCCAATGCAGTTTCTAAGAACAGGTTACAGTTTAGAGGAAACAGCCTGAACATCATGTACAGTACTGCATCATAACTGGATCTGGATGAATGTTTTGGTCAGCTGCCAAAGAATTCACGTGATTACAAGCCATTCTCACTCCACCACGTTTTTTTTTCCCCCCCTCCGTTCGTATAATATCACCTTTAAGATTTATCACTTCGAATGTAAAAGAGGGGGGTTAAAAAAAAAAAAATCGAGACCACATTAGTGTCGTTCCTACATGCAGGTAACCTCCTTTGCTCTCGGAACAAGCTCGGGCACCTTCTGCGGTTTCAGCGGACTCTCTTGGCACCCTTCGTCGGCAACCTTCTCTGTGACTCATGTCACAAACGTACGCTCTGCGAACTGTAAATAAAGACAAGAACATCTCGTTTTGTTCGCCACAATTACTCTAAAACTGGTTCTAATGATGGTGTACCTGGAGGACTAATTATGGAATTCCAGGTCAAACTAAAAAGCGACTTGATCAGACAAGAGGATGGTGTGTGTGCTTTCAGTTTTACTCGAAGTAAAAAAAAAATTAAAAAAAACCCAGCGAGGTGTCGCTCTGTTTACATGCGCGTGACCGCCATGAACTTTGGGTTCTTATCAGGTCGTACAGTCAGGTAAGCTAAAACGGCTGATGGTGAACAATCACAGCGTATTATGACTTGTTTTGCAGCCGTAGGCAACTCGCAGTCGTTGACCCTGATATTAATTCCTCAATGTGGCAAGTGTTTAAAAGATCAGCGAGGATATCTGTGTGGCAGCTAAAGCCTCCCCCAAAAAACCGGACGCTGTACCAGGACAGTAACACCAGAAAATCCATGACTGAAATAGAAACAGCTGGAAAGAGAAAGATTTTCTGTCATGGCGGAGCAATCAAAGCTCAGGGCCTCAAAATGACAGAAATGAAAAAGCAAAAAGAATTTCAGACTTTTTTTGTTCTTTTCTCAAGATTAAAACTAAATATCTCAAACAGGAACCCACGGCAAAAATGACTGACATTATTTGTTATCCAATAAAAAAAAAGAGGCAAAAATAATGGAGAAAAATGAAAGCCAATCAGATGTGATGTTAGCGGTGAGAAAAGGTGGGACTTTGTTACACTTTATTGGTTAGCTTTAAAGTAAAGTAATTCTGCATGCATTTTGTTCTAGTTGTAAAAGGAAGAAGATTCTCCAAAGATTTAAGAGACCCCAGATTTAATTCCTGTCTGACTTCGTCTTTTAGCGAAAACAACAAATCGTGTTTTAAGACTTGGCCGACTAAAGCTAAAATGAGGATAGATTTCCAAAACATGACTCTGACAAAGTTACATTTTAGTAAAAAAAAAAAAACTAAAAAAAAAACTATTGCTAAATCTAAAAGAAAATGCGCTGGGAGCATAAGGGTGATCTTTAATTAACCACAAACAAAAAGTCCTCTGCCACGATAAAAAAAAGCGAAATAAGGTCAAAGAAAATACTTCAATTGGCTGCTGCTAAGCCTTCCACAGAAGGCTGAATCATGGTGTGTCAGCGTAGTTTCCACACGCTGCATCTGCATTTTGGCTTAATTTTGATTACACGTGTGACAACATGTCAGCTAAGGTTGGATTTTCCTAATTCTGAAATATGCAGAGGAGCAAAAATAATTATTAAGCATCTGCAAATATTTTACGCACACATAATGCTTGACTGCTTAATTTAGTTTCTGAGAAATAAATAAATGTTTTTCTGACTTTCAACGTAAAGCTACTGTGCTGCCGGGTCAAGAGCTTTTAGAAACTTTCTATTTTTGACATTGCTGTTTTAAGTTAAAACAAACATTAAGAATTGCTTCTTTTATTGCATTACACAATGATCTACAATAAAAAAAAACAATGTGAATAAAAAAAGACAAAAAAGGACTCATTGATAGCATATTTTTATTTTTTTTGCTTATACATTTTTTTCTTGTTTAATCTTGAACTCTGTGTTTAAGGTGAGAGATGTGCAGAGCTGTACATGTGTACATCTTTGGTGGCCTGGATGAATCGTTGATGTATTTCAGTCCTGAAGCAGATCCACCGCTGTTCCATGTTTACTTCAGTTGCAGATAACGGCTCCGACTTAGAAAAGGCTTTGCAATCTTGTTGATATCATGCTAATGACTTTGCTTCTCATCTGTTCTTAGATTTCATTGCAGAATGCTGTCTGTCACGCCTTTTGAGATTTATTCATTTACTTTTTTTTTTGCCAACTTCTTGCTGTCAGACTTGATTTCTCGATTCTACATGTTAGGCAGCAATCGGGTTTGGGTGAGGCCCGTCAAATTAAACCAAGAAAATGTGACAATTAAACACTTAACCGTTCAGTTCCTTCTGCATGGAGTTTGCACGTTCTGCTCTAGCATACATAGAGTCTCTCTGGGTATTCCAGTTTTCACTCAGCCAAAAAAATATAAATGTTGGATTTATTATATACCCTAAATTATCCTTAGAAGTGTGTGTGGGCATGTGTGTGTTTATGTGCTGCGCTGTGATGAACTGGAATAGGAGGTACTATGCCTCTTGCCCAATGACCCATAGAGATCGGTAGCTGCCCCCCCAGCACCCCATAACTCTGCTTGAATAAACAGCTATAAACAATGGATAGATGGATGAAAACCAGCACGTCATTTGAAAACATGCCCTTTGTATTTACTTAGCTTATCTTGGTCTGACGTTAAAATGTGTCCGACCAAAACCAAAACTGTAACGGGGCTAACATTTCCCCCCTTGTAATCATTGTGCTTTCTAAATTAAACGATTACCGTCTAAAAATAAAACAATCTTTTTATTGCAGAATAAAGGAGGAAAAAACATGAACAATGCTCTTTTAATTAAAAGTGTAAACCTGGCAGTTTTCAAAGTCATGCCATGGGCAACACACTGACCGCGTGACGCAAGCTGTGCTCTACGCCGGACAGCTCTCTTTCTCCCGTTTTCATCTTAAATGTGCAGCTTTTCCGACGCTCTCCACAGCCCGCAAACACAATCATGCTTTGACCTGCAGGCTAAAACGACATCCTTTCCCTTTCAGTTGGCAGCACAGGACCTTTCATAAATAAACACGTACAATGCTGACAGGATCTGCACAATCGACAGTTCAGATATAAAAAATTGTCAAACGTTCAACATGTGGTATATCGTTTAAAAAAATAAGGCTTGAAAAAGGACAAATTTGGTAAAATAGATTGAACCGATACATCTGAGAATATCTGATGTTGATGAGAAAGTAAGGCAACAATCAGATTTAATATTCTTAGAATAATAATAATAAAAAAACATTTAGAGGCAGGTCATAACATCAAACTGTATCCTTTGAGAGTAAATAGGATAAATTGCAGTCTTTTTTTTTGTTTGTTTGTTTTTTTTTTCCCCCAGTATTTTGTCCATTTTAAGGAAAAGCTAAAAAGACTGGACAGATAGAGCTGAGGCGTCCCTTAGCTCTGGTGTCTCTTGGTGTGCAGGGCCAGGTGGTCAGAGCGGGAGAAGCAGCGGCTGCACACGCCGCACTGGAAGGGCTTCACCCCGGTGTGCTTCCTGAAGTGCCGCGTCAGCTCGTCGGAGCGGGCGAAGCGCCACTCGCATCCCTCCCAGGAGCACCGGTACGGCTTCTCACCTGCATCGGGCAGAAACCACACGGTAAAGCTACAGCGGACACCCACAACTTTTTTTTTTTTTTTTTGTGGAACTACACCCCACCCGTTCTCCCTCAAGGACATTATCTAAGAGTCTTGTTGAGAGCTCACATCTAATAAAAGAGTTTGGAAAAGGAGGCAAAAAAAGAAAAGAAAAAGGATAGCATGCCTCATCTGCAGGACATAAATCACTGCATGTTTCTACCCAACCCCTCCCCCCCCCTCTTCTCCCGCTTTACGAGAGTTGCAGGGTTTATGCGATTTGACAGCAGCGATATGTGGGCCAGCAGAACGAATATGCAAGCCAAGAAAACTTCTCTGCCTGGCAACATCCTCATGTTCACTCCCAAAATAAGATGTGCAACTTCAAGAAGTTTACCTGTGTGGGTTCGCAGATGAGCCTTTAGATGAGACGACTTCGTATAGACTTTCTCGCACCCTTAAGAAAAAATAACCAATAAGCATCTTTTAGGTATACATTTTGCCAACTTTTATCTCAACTGCTAGTCATAAGGACTTGTAATCGCACCTGGAACATCGCAGTGGTGAGTCCTGCGTCTTTCCAGATCGGGGTTGTTCCTCCGGTTGTATTTGGCCGGAGCCGACTGCGCCAACTCCGGAGACAGAGGCCCGACGCTTGGTGTCATCTGAGCTGGTGCCAGGCTGGAGTCCTGAACCGGTCCGCCAAGTGGACATTGGGTGAACGCAGGAGCGCAAGTTTGGCCGTGGGTTCGAGTCGAAGGATCGCTGGAAGTCTGTCTGGGATCGGTGTGGGTCTGGAGTGTTGTCTTACAGGCAATGCTGGCTTCGTAGGAGGGAGGAGGGGAGCTGTTATGAAGGATCTCCTTGCCCTTGTCTGGACTCGGAGGCTGAGAATTTGGTGGAGACGGCGGCAGATAGGTTGATCTAAATTGGTGGCCAGAGTGCTGGTCGAATGAAAAACATTCAGTCTGTGAAGCGTCTGGTAGTTGTCCCACGTGGAGATTCCTGACTGGAAGACTTTGCGGCGTGATGGGGAAAGAGTTCTGCTCTAAGTCAGTGTTCAACATCTGAAACTGGGGAATTTCTTGGAATTCTGGCACTTCCTGCTTGATGAAAAAGCTACCACCAGGAGTGTCGGCTGCTTTGAACATTCCTGAGTACTCTGGGAGGGTCATTGGTGCTTCGTTGCCCTGGCAGGTCGAGTGCATCAGGGACTGTGGTGGCTCCGCTTTGATTTGCTTCACAGTCCGGCAGAGGCCAGGTTGCAAGTAGGCGACGTCGGGAAGGAGCAGGCTCATGTTGACGCTGAAAGAAGAGGTGAAGTCTTCGGGGAAAAGTGACTCCAGCATGGGAGCGCTATCCTTGTCAAGCATTTTTGAATTTGCTACATCATGAAGTAGGTAGGTGTCCATCTCAGTTTTGCCCTGCTAGAAAGAGCAAAAGGGAAGTGGTTTGGTCAGTAACACAAAAACTGCACGGTTACCTCTTTAACTCAAATGATTGGCTTACGCTGTTCAGATGAAAGTTTTAAGCAAACACTGGACCAAAAATTGTTATCCAGCTTTTCAAAGAAAGCCTGGATCAGGCAGCCATTTTGAAATATATGACATATCCTCACTTAACTTTCCACAGGATCAAATAGAAAATAGTAAGCTTGTGAAATGACGATGTTTACAAAGTGTCAAAGGCTTTGATTCACAGCAGATTTGATCTATTAAGTAGTTAGCAGAGGCTCCTGCTAGCCATGATTAATATTCACACTTTGACCAAAGAACTGGTCATTAAATCAATATTGATATTAACACAAACTGGAATCAGGTAAAAAAAAAAAAGTATATATACTGGCAGGTCAAACCTGGAAATTGGCTGAGTCTGATCAGTGCACCTCTGGTGTAATATGTATCAAGTATCAAATTTGCTGCTCAAATTCTTTTTTTTTTTTTCTTTTTGGTCTCAAATAGCAAAATGTATTAGACAAAATGAAACTGATGACTTTATTTGTCTGTAGCTTCATAATGATTTAGGCAGATTTAAACCAAAATTACAAATCTTTTACTCTACCTCCATTTATTTCACTTATTCAACCATCCAGGTCATTTGTAACTTTGGTCAGTTCTCTGACTGAAACGGCTTAACATGTTCAGTAAAAACACATTTCACACAGGAAGAAGTAAGTGGCACACCGCTTCCTACCTTCATTTCCTGTGTAAATCTGAATTGAACGCAAATGTAACTGCAGCTTAAAATGTTGGTTAAGTTGAATTTGCATAAACCACAAAGCGGTTTTCAAGATGGTAGAAGTCAAGTTCAGGCTTTGCCCCTCTTACCTTCGGCCTTATGGACCAACTAATCAGTATTCATGCTAAATTAAGATGGCAAGAGAGCTCAGTACTGCAGATAAGATAGCAACTGCTGTGAGCCTCTTCACAGAACCCCACTTCAACAAATTCTCAACTATCCAATAAGTGTTAAAAATTGGTCACTTCAATCCATTTTTTGGATTAAAACCTAACCCAAAATGTGGAATCAAACTAATGTAATTTATGGCCTGGTTCATGTTTGGATTCGCAGTTTTAGTTTAAAGAGTGAAGAAATTGAATCAAGCTCCTAATGTGACTTAAAAATTGGTATTAAGAGTTTTTTTTTTTTTTTTTTATTTGTCTCTGTATTGATGAAGCCAATGTTTTGTTTTGGGGTTTTTTTTTTTTTCCTGTCTTGGACTTTGCATCACTGGTTGCACCACATGTCATTCTGGACTGGTAGCTCCACTTTGGGGATGCATGTGTACCAACACAACAGAAAATCAGCTCCGATTTACAAGTCGCTCCGTGCAAAGGCTTCTGCCTGCATGTAAGCTCTTTCCAAATGCACAGCTGAAATTAGAACATCCAGTTGCTCCACAGGACTATGCAGGACAAGTTTCAGGGACGGGTGCACATCCCATTCACCCCCAACACACCACAATGAATGTCAGCATCAGCAATCTTAAATTCGTCTTTATTCAGCATTCTTCTCACAGCAGCCTTCAATGTTAGGATCAAACCCTTGAAATGAAAACAAATCTGTTCCTCATACCAAATCTGCACGCAACAGAACATTTAATTAAATAATAGCGAGACAGTGATGCTGAGAGGCAATGCAAATGCAAAAATAAAATAATAATAATAATAATAATAATAATAATAAAACCAACCCTACCAGATTGTAATCTGGGAAAGATGAAATTCCCAGCATGGCGTTGCACAGCACTTCTCCATGATCCTCACCCCTCAGACCGTCGGATGATGTCAGCGGCGCCGCTGGGTGGCTTTTGTGGAGAAACTGCGCGTCCTGCCCCGGAGCAACCCAAACCGAATTCGTCACAGCTGCGGCCATTAAAAGCGTAGATAGCCTTACACTCGTTCGATATAGTACCAAAACAAAATAAAAAAAATAAATAAATAAATAAAAATGCCCGAATTAATCTAGCATATATGAATTGTTGCTTTCGAAAACAATCCCAGGCGACCCAGCTGTCAAACGCTCATCCTCCTCTGGTTTGCACTGGCTTGTCAAATTACGCAACGGCGTAATATCAGCGCGTCTGCAGGGCGGCGCCGAACATGTGCAAAACAAACAGGACAACTAGGCGGTACTTAACACACCGAGTGTAATGAATGCAGCAGTTTGGTGATTAGGAGGAGAAATAAACTTGGGGTTGGGATTTTTTTTTATTTTTTTTATAAGTTTATGATGAGGTTGTTTGTGTTCAAGACCAAGAAATATGGCACACACAAGGAAAGCTCTTTTAAAAAAAAAAAATAAATAAATTCTTATGGTTCAATTCCCACAATAAACTTAGCTCCTCGTTTAAATGGGAACTTTAGACCTTAAATTTCCACACAGATAAAATTAATTTCAGTTTGAAAAAAAGGCTTTTTTTCATTCCTCTGAGAATGTATTTCTGTTTCTCACCAATAATATTAAGAATTAAAATAAATAATTAGATAGATAGATAGATAGATAGATAGATAGATAGATAGATAGATAGATAGATAGATAGATAGATAGATAGATAGATAGTGCATCGAAAAAATATAACGTCTAAGTCTGTCAACATTTTCTGTTTCAAAATAAATTTCAATTTATTTTATCTATATTTTGTGGTATGATGTAGTGTTGAAGTGAAAGGCTGTCAAGATTTTTGTTTCAAATGAACATCTAGAAAAGTGTGGGTGTACACATTTATTGAATGTGTACACTTTTTGAATGAAATAAAAAAAAAATTAAAAAAAGCACACCAAAGATCAGAAGATACAAAATTGAATTTTTAGTCTCTGCATTAAAAAAAAAAAACACATATTGTGGTGGAGAAGTGACACTTCACATGAACTTCTTCCTCATCTTTCCTTCCTCTCATTTATGCAGCTTTTTCTGCTGCATAAATGAGAAGATGGTCAAAGTTGACAGGAAGATGGATGGAGATAAATGCAGAGCAATCCTGAAAACATCAAACTGTTTGGGGCTGCAAAAAAAACTTGAGAGTGAGGGAGAGGTCCTCCATCCAGAAGGACAGCAGACAGGCACACAGCAACAGGGCATAATGCAGGCGTTTAGATCACAGCATATCCATGGCCTAGTCAAAGTGCACATCTAAATGCACTTGAGAATCGGAGGCAATATTTGAAAACTGCCTGGTTTAATACAAAAGAACCCCACAATTTTTGTGGTACTGAAGAACTTTTTTTTTTTTTTTTTTAAATTAACACACCAAAATGTTAAATTGCTCAGGGAACATGAAGCACCAGAGAGATATCAATTTATAGTAATATTCATAGCTTTTTATACATACATATGCATAATCCAGAAATATTTATAAGAAAGTTTAGAATTTCGTTTTTTTCCCTCTCACAAAGCTGTTTCACCCCTATCAAAAAGAAAATGTGATTCCTCTCTTCCACATTACTCACTAACACTTTTGCTTAGATTCACACTTTTTGTGCGTCTTTTTCAGTAGGAGCTGGGAGTTTCACTCTTTGTTTCTTTGTGGGCTGTCTGTTGGTTTTGTGGTGTTCTTCTCCACATTACCCAGATAGCACAGAATGATTGAAACAACATTGAATCAATGTCAGCCA